CTTATCTCTTATACACACCACGGACACGGACATGCCCGGCGTCACCGCGTGTCTGGGAGCGCTGGCACCCGCCCTCCCTTCCGGTGCGTATGCCTGACCGCTCGCTCTGTCTATCTCTCTCACACTGTTTCCTTCTCACTCACATCATCTCTTACATAACACGAAAATAAGTCCCATAAGCGTTTACTACGACGCAAACGTTACATCTTTCTCACACTTATCTCTTATACATACCACGGACACAGACATGGCCGGCGTCACCGCGTGTCTGGGAGTGCTGGCATCCGCCCTCCCCTCCGGTGCGTATGTCCGACCACTCGCTCTATCTTTCTTTCTCTCACACAGTCTCCCTCTCACTCACACAATCTCTTACACACAGTACGAAATTAATTGACATAGACATTTAAAACGACGCAAACATTAGATCTCTCTCACACGGTCTCCATCTCATTCACACTAGGTATATCTCTCTTATAAACACTACGGATGCGCGCCACTGCCTGTCTGGCACGCACCTGCCCTCCGGTGCGTATGCCTGACCGCTCGCTCTATCTTTCTCTCTCATACATCTTCCATGTCACTCACACAATCTCTTACACACAGTACGAAATTAATTGACATAGACATTTAGAGTGACGCAAACGTTAGATCTGGCCGCGCTCGCACTTTGCAGCACCTCCGATGTGTATGCCTCAATGAGAGTACTAGCTCTATCTCTCTCACACAGTCTCACTCACACCATCTCTTACATAAGACAATAGCACCATGAAATAAACTAACGCGGACCTCACTCACACAATCTACTGTGTATAAGTGGATGAACAGTTAATGAAATAATTTAAACATTTAATAATTTCAATCCAAATTATTTTCTCTTTTACATTCCTGCGATTTTTATACGCGGTGTTTCGTGACCTCCCCTCTTTAAACACTTCCAATCAAAACACTCCAAATCAGCAATCTGTCTCATAACTTTCATCTACCAAAATAAGTGACAAAAGGTACGTATTAAATGTAATAAATTATATTTGAAAATTTAGCGTGCGACACTTTTGGGTAAGTGCCATTCCTTACTTTTGTCCAAACTACAGTTTTCAAGTTCAAAATAGTTTACATGGTGATGTGATATAAGAAATTTCAGTTTGAACTTGAAAATAGATTAGGGATGATGACGGACCCAAGCACGAAGGGTGATGACAGGGTACAGTAAACGAAATTCTATTTAGTCCGTCAGTTAGATGATCAAAAAATAATTGACACGTATTTTTTCTTTGGGCAATCAACCAAAAAATGACAAAGTCATAGCGCGTCAAAGTTTGGGAGTAGGGGCTCGTGACGTCACTTTTGAGTGAATTTTCCCTTATAAGTGTACTCAAACGTGACGTCATGCGACTTTTCAAATCAATATATCTCTGCAATGTTTTTATTATGTGAAAAAAGAAAAAATACGTGTCCAATACTTTTTGATAATGTACCTGATAAACGAAGAAAAAAAATAGTCATCATCCCTTTTGTATGCATGTTATGAATTTATTTATATACTTAAACCGGTAACCGGTTACATTGAGAGTAATGCATGGTCTACTCACAGTACTATATGAATATTATGATTTAAAATGTTGGAATTCGCATGGAAGGCGAGGGCTGGGTGGAGGAAATTGAAATATTGATTTTTGCCTGATTGAAACAGTATAGCGTTGTGCAGTTTTGATGACACGACAGAATCAATGTTACCCTCATGAAAAGATGGTTGAGAATCCATCGTAACATTTAGATCTTGGTTTGCATTAGATTTTCAACCATATTTTCGTGTAGGTAAAATTCATTGGTGTTTGTTGTCAAAACGTGTGTTGTCCAATGAACCGCGCTTACTCATAGAAGGCATGTAGCGCGGTGTGCAAGTATTGACTTGTATCGCTTTTTATAATATAATTCATTGCGTAATTTATTATAAATATATTGTTATTTATTATATTTATCTAAAACATTGTTTGTCTATTAGTGGAGGGGGGAGGGACGAAGGGGGGGGGGGAGGGGGGGGCACACTAACACACTGCATGTACGGTACCACACGAGATGTGAATGTCTGTACGATTTGGAAAGTCACAAAATGTAAAAAAATATATGATTAGACTCAAGTAGTTAACGTCTTTTTCGAGCTAAAGCTGAATAAAATTAATGTTTGTTCGTATTACTTTTGCTAGGAACAATGATGAAAATACTCTTTGTAAGGAATAGGGGAAACCACCCAATCATTGGCACTCGTCCTATTATATTATTGGCACTTTTGATTTGAATTCGGGAAAACAAGGAGACAATAGATTAATCAAGGTCTTTACATATTAAAAAGAAAAACCTAGTATGCTTTCTAAAATTTTAAAATTATCAGCATTATTCCTACAATCTAAGGTTTCCTGTTTTTTTTTGAACTAAACTCAAAAGTGCCAATAATAGGAAGAGTGCCAATGATTGGGTAGTTTACCCTAATAAAAATATATATTAAATTAAAAAAAAAATCCAAAAGCCCAGAAAGTACGGTTAGAAGTTTTACTCATTCTACAAATGACAGGTAGGCTTTCATTGTTATAATTTGTCCTAAAAACTAAATAATAGGACATCTGTTAAAAAATAATATTTTGAAACTGAAACTTTAATAAACTGTTGTAATAATTTATAACTAGCTTGTATAAAACCGTAACTGAGCTATATATATATCAAGGGCTTACGATTATGACATATTGGTTTTACATTTTGCGATGTTCCCGTAGCGGCAGTTGGAAAATATTGTGTTTGGTTGTCGCACCGGTGTGGTCGCGTCGAGTGTCACACCCTTCCTTTTTAACTTGAATACTGCAATTACGAAAATCCACTACTGAGCATTGATATGGGAATTAAAATTAGATTCTCGTTAAAATTTCACGCGGATCAGGCAGCAGACGGGACTCAATCCCGCACCCTTCGCAATCCGGGCGAATGCACTAACCAATTATGCTACCGCGGCCATCACGGACCGCGTCGAAATTCTTCTAGCCATTCTTAAGCTGCAAGGCAGCGCCATCTCTTCGCATTATAGGTAGATTTAAACATCAAGCAGTTACATGCTTTAATATAATAAAAATTGTAGATTCTCGTTGCGTTTTCTTCTAATAATTAAGCCTCTATAGACTTTCTAGAAAGAGAAGCGATAGCATAGACAAATTAATAGCCGCCATTATGGTTGATCTCTCTTAAAGTTGTAAGGTCGGTTTATAACGAATCAAACCGGTCGGTTTAAAACCAAATTTTGGTTTAAAACGGAGTTTTAGGGTTGTAATGGGTAGAAACAGTGTTTTTTTATATAAACTCGGAATGCATTACATTTCGCCATGCAACGGAGTAAAACTAACTAAATACTAGAGATGGGCCGACTATAGTACTTGCCGAATAACCGACTAGCCGACTAATCAGTTTTCAAATTGCCGACTAGTCGGCCGACTCGGAAGATGTTCGGAATACTTTGTCACGACTCGGCTTGCGCACTGACGACATGAGTCTCCCAAAACGAGCCGAAATATTCATGTTCCAAAATCACAATTTGCCTGTAAGGAAAACAAAATTTACCTATGGACTTCTTTAAGACTCGTTAGCACTTAAGATTTCACTCATTAATATGTACGTACTTCCCACTGTTATTTTGTTATGTGCGATATTCATTGTGTTAAGTTATCTCAATTACTGACAGATTCTTAAGTTCCTAATTCTTTTAATATTTTAAGACTGTACGTAACTTTAAATACGTACGCTAGGTACTGTTTAAATGTTCAAAACAAGCATAAGTTTTGAGTTTTATTTCATTGGTTATGTGCTGATTATAAGCGGCATGTTTTGCCGAATAGTCGCTGACTAATCGCCGACTATAAACGATGCCTTCCCGACTAGTCGGCGGCTAGTCGGCCCTATCTCTACTAAATACCAATACCAAACTGTGTATTTTCATGTTTGTTAGATTTTTTACTAATAAATATTATAAGTGGAAATTGAAAACCAATGAAAAAATGCCGACCCTAGGAGATACTCGAACATTGCTTTACTTTTCACTAAAAATTAGCGCTCAAAACGCAAAAACCGCGAACTCTTTCTTCTTGTGTATGCTTTAAAAATATCTTTTTTAGTTTAACGTTGAATATACCTCTTTATTATAAACACCAAGTGACGTACAATATAAAATAACATTCTTCGTCTAAGAGTGTTCCAAACGGCAGTCTCATCTCTAACAGCGAATCTCTTCCGGACACTGTTAAGCGCCCTTTTACAAAATTGCGTCGGTGCCATACTGATCGGCGCGTAGGTAGATTTGCACTAGTATATATTGCATTTTACGCGTGATGTTTCGAGTCTTATAAAATAATTATTAATAAAGTAATTATAAAAATAGATACATATTTCAGTAGTTTAATAATGGTAGATTAGTTTTATGAAAGTTTTTGATGGTAATTCTATTAAATTCAATATCAAAATACGAGGTAAACCTGCATTAGTTTTTCGGAAAACTCGCGGAGGTTAGATGTTTTTTTTTGATAATTAATGAGATGGAAAATCAATATTTTAATACATTATGTTACAACATACACATATTTCTGACGTCATAGTTATTTATTTGATCTAATTTATTGAACGTTATTGAGAGATTGAGGCGTTTGAAGTTGTGCATATTATCGTTCTTTCCGTAAACTATCTGCAGTAGAACGATCAGTACAAAAAAAGGGAAATAATATATGCAAATATTCTACATTAACTTACAATAGGAAGAATAAATCTACTGTTTACTTCTATTGGAAATAGTCAAAATCTTTTCTAAGGGGGTAAAGAAGGCGCTCAAAAATGACGTTTTTTTGCAAAAAATGTGAACGGGTTCTAAGTTTATAAGATAAAGATTCCCGTATCAGTGCTGAGTGGTGCGTTTCGTTATGCCACACGTTGCGTGGCTGCGTGCGTGTGGTAAGAGCCGTGTGACGTCACAGACGCGGACGGGTGCGGGTCGCGCGCCTCCGTAGAGCGTATGCTCGCGTTTGGGCGCGAATTGTACGCGATGAGCCAGAAACTACAACAGGACCTTTATCACAAATCAATGTTAGAGGTAAGTGGTGTTCTTTGTCATTATCAACAGCGTCTTAATGTCTTCCCTATGGATGGAATAGGGAGATTGGGTCATCAGCTACCGCGCGGGACCAGTGCGGATTGGGGGCTGCTAACCACTGCAGATGCAGCCGGGACCGACGGCTTATCGTGTCTTTCGAAGCACCGAGGAGTGAGAGATAGGAAATTTTTGGTCTCCTATCCAATGACCGACCACTGCGAAAGCTGCTCAACTTCAACGATCACACCCGATTGCGTTAACCACTTACGCCATCGAGCTCCTCAATAGTAATTTCAATGTTCTTTGTAATTTGGGATATATTGTCCTAGTTTTTTTTTTTTTTATTCGGTAATAGGTAAGCGCTTGACCATAATTCGCCTGATGGAAAGCAATATTATGGTCTACGATGGAGCGCGCTTACCTAATAAAAACCGATTCACTCTTGCTTTGAAGACCGCTAGATTGTAGTGCTCGGGGAACAAGGGCTCAGGCAAGGAATTCCACAGTACTAATGTTATTAATGTGAAATTTTGTTACTCAATAACACAAAACCGGTTGAACGGATTTGATGAAATTTTACACACACACAGCTTTTAAAGTGGAAAGAGACAATATTTTTATTCCGAAAAAGTGTTCGGTTTCTGCAGGATTTTCAAAAGCTAAAGAGCGGCCGCTGGTAGTTTATAAAATGTTACATTGATAACACACAAACATACAAACTTTCACATTCATAATATTAGTAGGATAGTATAGGTGTCCTATCCTAGCTACTCTGTAAAAAGGTTGATAACACATAAGTTGTATTTTTTTTTTTACATATCATCAGATGTTTGTTGAATCAAATTCAGATTCCGTCCTTACAAAACTTGTATCCAAATTATTGAGTCAATTTATCAAACGTAAATCAATGATATCAAGGTAAAATGTTCACTGTTTCTTTCCAGAATGCGTTCAGTTTGCTGGCGTATAGTAACCCCTGGGACAGTCCCGTCGGCTGGCAGCTGGAGCCGGTCAGACGCGAGCACGTCTCCGAGACGCTCAACTCCGCCATATTAGGTGACACATATCATACCATTGTCAATACAGGATGCGTACAGTTTGTGGCCGACAGTAACCCCTGGGACAGCCCCGTCGGTCAGACGCGAGCACGTATCCGAGACGCTCAACTCCGCCATATTAGGTGACACATATCATACCATTGTCAATACAGGATGCGTACAGTTTGTGGCCGACAGTAACCCCTGGGACAGCCCCGTCGGTCAGACGCGAGCACGTATCCGAGACGCTCAACTCCGCCATATTAGGTGACACATATCATACCATTGTCAATACAGGATGCGTACAGTTTGTGGCCGACAGTAACCCCTGGGACAGCCCCGTCGGTCAGACGCGAGCACGTATCCGAGACGCTCAACTCCGCCATATTAGGTGACACATATCATACCATTGTCAATACAGGATGCGTACAGTTTGTGGCCGACAGTAACCCCTGGGACAGCCCCGTCGGTCAGACGCGAGCACGTATCCGAGACGCTCAACTCCGCCATATTAGGTGACACATATCATACCATTGTCAATACAGGATGCGTACAGTTTGTGGCCGACAGTAACCCCTGGGACAGCCCCGTCGGTCAGACGCGAGCACGTATCCGAGACGCTCAACTCCGCCATATTAGGTGACACATATCATACCATTGTCAATACAGGATGCGTACAGTTTGTGGCCGACAGTAACCCCTGGGACAGCCCCGTCGGTCAGACGCGAGCACGTATCCGAGACGCTCAACTCCGCCATATTAGGTGACACATATCATACCATTATCAATACAGGATGCGTACAGTTTGTGGCCGACAGTAACCCCTGGGACAGCCCCGTCGGTCAGACGCGAGCACGTCTCCGAGACGCTCAACTCCGCCATATTAGGTGACACATATCATACCACTGTCATAACAGGATGCGTACAGTTTGTGGCCGACAGTAACCCCTGGGACAGCCCTTTCAGCTAGTAGCTAGAGACGATCAGACATAAATCCATCCGCTATGTGTGTGACCAACATTTTTTTTACAATTTCAAGCTCCACTGTGCGTCAGAAGGCACGTTAAGCCGTTGGTCTGCAGTTGTTAGCACACACCTATCCGCACTGGGTCTGGGGTTGGCAATGGCCTAATCTCCCTATTCCATCCTTAGGGAAGGCCTGGGCCCCAGCAGTGGGGACATTAATGGGCTGATGACAATGATCAGGTGTAATGAAGGTGTCATCATCATCATCTCATCAGTCTATTAATATCCCGACTGTCTATGAATGGAATACCGAGATTGGGCTATGACCATACGTTGGCGACTACTTATGCTGGCACCTCGATGGCTTAATGTACCTTTCGAAGCACGTAGCAGCTTGAGGTGGTAATATTTTTTCGAAGCATGGTGGAGCTCGCGGTAGTAATACTTTGGTTATCCTTCAGATGACTGGTCACTGTGAAAGATACTTTCTTTCACCGTTGCAGACAAAATGCTCTGCCCACTGCCTCCTTGAGTCCTTTTCGGTTATATCAAAATTAGTTTTGTTAAGAAGTTTAAGTTAGTATTTTACTTTAACAAAAGTTGTTTCTTATGTCTGAAGGACAATGGGGGACTTTGTATGTGACTTAATTAAACACTTTTCCTCAAATTAACGAGCGGGAGATAACAGGACACTTTATTGCGTTTAGAGTTTATAAAATACTAGAAGTGTCCTGCAATCTCCCGCTCATTAATTTTAGGGAAATTGTTAAAGTAATTCACATACAAAATCCCCCATTATCCTTCAGACATAAGAAACAACTTTTGTTAAAGTAAAATAATAACTTAAACTTTTTAACAAAACTAATTTCTTTTTTTCCATTGCCCTTTTCATTGATATTGATATTTATTTATATATTCTGTACACACAAAAAATAATACAGGAGCAACTTAATAAAAGATAACATGTGCAAGGGCACAACTTATATATATCGATATAGATACATTGATATTATTTCTCATTGCCCTTCACACTGCACTTACATACACACCTCTTAGTGGGTTAGGTCTATAAACAATACCCCTCTTTAAAACTAAACCGCGCCTTTTCCGCCCGCCACAGAATCGCAAGGCATGCAATGGCGGTCGCCCGTAGAAGAGTGCGTCGCGCATTCCCGCGAGTTACTACAGCGTATGGCCGCGGCCGGGCTGGGGGCTTGCGCCTTCGCCGACCTGCCCGCCCTCCTGCGCCGCTGACACTCGAGCCGCGCCCTCACCCGCGACCGCGACCGAGACCGCGACCGCGTCCGCGTCCGCCCGCGACTGAGAAACGCGCGCCGCTGACACCAGAGCCCCGCCTCCAGCATACGAGCGACGACCCACGTGACACCATCAACATCGTTCCATATTTAAATAAACGAATAAATGAAAATCAAAACTGCCTCGTTCAGTGTTTTGGTGTATTAAGACACCAGAGCCCCGCCTCCAGCATCATGAGCGACGACCCACGTGACACCATCAAGATCGTTCCATATTTAAATAAACAAATAAATGAAAATCAAAACTGCCTCGTTCAGTGTTTTGGTGTATTAAGACACCAGAGCCCCGCCTCCAGCATCATGAGCGACGACCCACGTGACACCATCAAGATCGTTCCATATTTAAATAAACAAATAAATGAAAATCAAAACTGCCTCGTTCAGTGTTTTGGTGTATTAAGACACCAGAGCCCCGCCTCCAGCATCATGAGCGACGACCCACGTGACACCATCAAGATCGTTCCATATTTAAATAAACAAATAAATGAAATGAAAAAACTGCCTCGTTCAGTGTTTTGGTGTATTAAGACACCAGAGCCCCGCCTCCAGCATCATGAGCGACGACCCACGTGACACCATCAACATCGTTCCATATTTAAATAAACAAATAAATGAAAATCAAAACTGCCTCGTTCAGTGTTTTGGTGTATTAAAGCTGTCTTTACCGCTGCGCTGTTACATACTGGTCTACAGCCTCGTTCAATATTTGGTCTGCCAAAAACTATCACTACAACTCTAATATTTATAAAACGGTGGATACTAATATAGTAGTTACAAAGCTTATGTTTAATGTCAGCCCCTGAATAACACATATAAGAAACACGGTCAAAAACAGCCTCAAGCAAATGGCATTCGCCCGTCGAAGAGCGAGTTGTATTCTCGCGAGCTATTACAGTGTATTGCGGGGGTCGGGCTAAGGACCTATGACACAAGAGCCACGCCTCAACCACAAGCAAGGCGCCGCGACTAAGGCCCGTATTATACAAAGATTCTCAGTGATTGATCTAGTCTTGAGCATAGTTAGAAAGGGATGTCGCTATATATAGCACATAGCGACATCCCTTTCTAACTGTACTCAAGTAATGATCAACACTTAGTTGTCATTCTGTAATACGGGCCTTAAAGACCGTGCGAACACGACCATCGTTCTATTCATGTAAATAAAGAAGTAAATGGAAATCAAAACTGCCTTGTACAATGTTTGGTGTCTTTAATACTTTCATTAACACTCTTGTAATAACGTAAATAATAAAAATCGATCAAAACAGCTTAAAATCGTTCGTTATTGAAAAAATAAATAAAAATCAAAACTGCCTCGTTCAATCTTTGGTGTAATAAAACTGCCATTATAATAAGATTAACATAAAAGCCGTTACAAAAAGATATACCAAATATTAATGTTACGGAAATGCACAGAAACCATGTTATTATGAGACGCTAACCACCCTACATAACTTAAAAATTATCGTTCATAACAGCCTTATTCAATGGTTAGTGTTTTAAAAATCATCATTATCGCTCTAATAAATAATACGGTGAGTACTAATATAATAGATACAAAGAGTTTTATCAAATGTTTAGTATACAATAAATACATTTGTAACCAATTAAAAAAATCGTTCAACAACAGCCTCATACAAATGGCGGTCGCCCGGCGAAAAGACGGCCGGGCGAGAGACTTACTCGCCCTTTACCCGCGCCCACATTAAACTAAATAAAAAACACCCTAAAAAAAGTTCGAATTTAAAATTGTATATGCAAAATTAAGATATTTTTAGCTTTGGTAATTGGGTAGCTTGTATCGAGAACGGCATACGATTAGCTTATTTGACAGAAAAATATATCTCCCAATCGTAAATCTTAACGAAGAAATGATTTTTTCTTAAATATCACCTAACATAAAAAATAAGACGTCCAACGAATATAGAATCTATTTGGTTTGGAGGTAGTAAAGAAACTTTTAACTTTTTAACAATTGCGTGACCATTTTTGACCTCAGCGATAGAAAACTGAGAATCGTGATATTATGTATTAAAAAGTAATTATTAAATAAAGGCTTGTCTACATTGCCAAATAATTAGGAGTGCGACACCAAATTCACTTTAAAAAAGCTCACGAGTGTATTTAAACAGTCTGTAATTGCGAATAAACGTTTAAATAATATGATTGATTAGTGAACGTTGACTTGGTAAAATATAGCAAAGTCATGTCGGGCGGTCTGGTGTGCAGAAGACCGCGAACTATGTATATAATGATCAATTTTAATGCTAATAATGTAACGCACATCGGATGCCTTATCAGTTCAATTCAACGGCACGCTTCATGCAAAAATGGCGTGAGCGAGCGTTCATCGCTCTGCTCGCTCGAGCGTGCGAAACTTTGCTTCGTGGGCGTAAGTAAGCGGACGCAGGCCCTGTTGCGTTACTTTTGTGATAACACCCTGTTGTTTTGACTTTGAAACCATTCTTTATATTTCATTAATAAAAATAATAATAAACTAATTTTTTTATAACGATTAATGCGTCCATTACAATCAACTTTGATGTGTACTTACCTTTAAACCTCCTTAATAGTAATTGAAGCTTGAAATCGTCTTTTGTTTTACTTAAGTTACTCGAATGGAAGGAAACAAAAGTTTGTTTCATATATTCGAAGTTTAATCATTAAGGAGGCTAAACTAATTAATAAAGATGTGGACGATAAATATTTCACTAGTCAAAACGGCAAGTTGTAACAGTGTTGGGGTAAATCGTGCGTTGTAATGGCCAACCGGATGCGCCTGCGTTCCATTCGAATCGATGTTATCGTAAGCCTCTTAGTGTGTTTAAGACTTTTTTTATACGGACGACTACCTACGTTTCTGGACGTCCGGATAGGGCGTTCAGTGAAGTGATTCGACGTTTGATGCGATATTTAGAAGTGTGCTGCTCCGCGTACGGACGGATATGTGAATAAATGAATAAATATAAAGGTCTACGTGAAATTCGTATGTAGTCAGTGTGCTGCGATTTACTCGAGTCCCGAGTTGTGTATATTGTCTGCGTATAAACTATAGATTATATTATATTATAGATGAATAAATAATTGTAATATTGTAATGATAACGTAACGTGGGGCACTGCACGCATGTTTTGATGCATTCAATCTCCTTTGCCTTTAGTTATTTTTAATGTTGCATCAGCAGCTGTTTAATTATTGTTATCGAAGTATCGACGAGTACCTACGAATAGCGCTATCGAGTTTTTTTTTTTTTTTTTAATCTTAGTATCATTGAATTTTATGTATAGGGTGATGTCCGATGAATTATCAATGTTTTTAAATCGATATTTAGCTGTTTTTACTAATCGAGAAGCTCTTTAGTGCTGTTCATATGAAGTATCGAATGATGCACGTGCTTGGTCTGACGTGAGACAGAGCGTCGTCGGTGCCCACAGAGTTTTTAAAAGTAAACATAATTTTATGATGGAGGATTTGTACTGTGCGTCGGCGCTGCATTTACACTCGCTGTATAGTTGAAAAACATAATACTATGTACAGATAGGATTGCCAGATGCTCGCTTGTCAATTCCGGGACTCTTACACCCTCCCCCCCCCCCCTGAAAAAATAAAGCATCAAGTCAAACCTGACGACCTCCGTGGCCGAGTGGTTTGTACGCTGGGTTGCATGGCGTCGCCGACTCGAAAGGTCCCGGGTTCGAATCCCGGTGGGGGCAGATGTTTGTGTGATGAATATGAGCACTTGTACTCCAGTCATGGATGTTTAATATGTAATTCTATATAAATATACTTATATATGTACAGTATATGTATTCTATCCGTTACCCTAGTATCCCATAATACAAGCCTTATAGTGCTTACTTTGGGGCTAGGCTAATTGGTGTGAGTGTTGGAAATATTATTAAAAAAAAACCCCGATCACCCCCCAGAATTAAGACATTAAGCAGGCCAGCGGTGTCATTTGTTATTAGTTTATTTTGTTGCGAAACTAGCACATTATCGGAATCCGGGACAATAAGGTCTTATTACTGGACACGGTACAAGACGCAAAATTCCGAGACGATCCCGGATTTGCCTGCCATCTGGCAAGCCTATGTACAGACAGAAAATGAGCATTTTCTCATTATGTACCTAGCTGTAAATCATCGTTATGAAATAAACGTCCTATAATGTAAAGTTAATTAAGTGCACAAATTTATAAAACTGGTTTCATACATGAATAGTTTTCAAGCACTATTTAAATTATGAAATTTTAAGGGGAATTGCACTTGAAAGAGCTCAGGGGGCCAATCGCCTAACGGAAATGCTTTGGGAAACGCTAACGCTTACGATTTTATATTGTTATTTTTAGCCGCCTGAGGTTTTCGAATAACTCACGCTCATTTTTTAAAATATTGCTATTACCAATGCAAAAGAAAAAGAAAGAGCGCGAGGCATTTGAATACCTCAGGCGGCTAGAAATAATAAAATAAAATCGTAAGCGTTTTCCAAAGCATTTCCGTTAGGCGATTGGCCCCCTGGTCTTCAAATTTGTACAATATATTTCAACTGCGATTTACGGAATGTTGGTTTTATTAAAAAAAAAATGTAGAATTGCTTGTGCATTTGAATGGAAATTTGTGCACTTAATAACAAATTATTTAGTTCTGAAATATTTAACTGACTGTAGCGGAACAAATAGCAGATTGTAATTTTGCGCAAAACGCTTAGAATAAACTTGCACAAGTTATTTATTATACATCGATCCTGGTTGTGGAAATATTTTAATGGGGGTCAATTTTTTATAATAGTTGTAAAGATCGAACAATAGAAAGACAGTTTCATTCGAACTGATTTTTTGTTTACATATCGTGTTTGTACTGTTACTGTATTTTAACATATGAGGAGCTGGCGAACAAAACGGAATAATTAAGCATCTGCTCAAAATACTTTTTTGTTTACAGTCCGGATGCTTTGGGCCTGCTGAATTTGAATCTCAATCATTTTCAATAAAAAACACCTAAAACAATGATAAATTGATTGATAAATAAAAACATAACTATAATTGCTATTTCTTCTTTCAAATGTTAAATACTAGAAAAAGTATTCATTTGACATTGTGGGTTACCTACATTGCGAAGAGATGGCGCTGCCTTGCAGCTTAAGGCTAGGAAAATTTCGACGCGGCCATGAGGGCCGTGGTAGCATAATTGGTCAGTGAATTCGCCCGGATTGCGAAGGGTGCGGGTTCGAGTCCCGTCCGCTGCCTGGTCCGCGTGGATTTTTTTCTATTAAAACTTTTCTTTAGATTTAAACATCTAGCAGTCAAATGCTTAAAAATAAATAAAAACAATGATAAATTTACTAAATTAATAAGCTAAAAAAACATGCCAAAAGCTCGGTGTAGGTGTGTCATTCAGTACTTTTAGTTGAGTTCAGTTCTATCAAAATGTAATTTTGTTAAGAAGTTTAAGTTCTTATTTTAATTTAGTTATAGACAATGATCAGGTTGTAATGAAGGTGGCATTATCATCATCAGCCTGACTGTCTATGAATGGAATACCGAGATTGGGCTATGACCATACGTTGGCGACTACTTATGCTGGCACCGATATGGCTTAACGTACCTTTCGAAGCATGCAGCAGCTTGAGGTGGTAATATTTTTTCGAAGCATGGTGGAGCTCGCGGTAGTAATATTTTGGTTATCCTTCCGATGACCGGTCACTGTGAAAGATACTTTCTTTCATCGTTGCAGACAAAATGCTCTGACCACTGCGTCCTTGAGTCCTTTTCGGTTATATCAAAATTAGTTTTGTTAAGAAGTTTAAGTTAGTATTTTACTTTAACAAAAGTTGTTTCTTATGTCTGAAGGATAATGGGAGATTTTGTATGTGACTCACTTAAACAGTTTTCCTCAAATTAATGAGTGGGATAACGCAGGACACTTCTAGTATTTTATAAACTCTAAACCCAATATATTTGTTCTTTCTTATTGCCCTATACATTCATTTCATATCACTCACACATTACACTTACCTTGACTTACAGTTGTATTACTGTTCCTGAAACTTTTAATTTTATTTAATTATACCGTTTAGTTCGCCAGCTCGTCATATGTCTTTTAAAATTAATAGTTCTTTTTAATTAGACTTCTTTACTTAATAGTGGGAGCAAATTCTATAGTTTGAAGAGTTTTGTCCTATTAATGAGATCGAATTTAGTTTAAATAATAAAAATTACACATTTACCAACTTAATTGTATTTGGTAATCAGTAATTCTTTTTGTTTTGGTGCGAGCGTTATTAAATGCAGTGCCGACGCCGAGGCGTGGAGTGGACATTGTCAACGGAATGGCGATTATATTTTTTACATAAATAACATAGTTCTATAGAGTTTAAAGCGTGAAATATACTTTAGACGATAAGTGATTGATGGTTAGAGAGTAGTCGGTCGGCTTGGAACGTGTTCAATCGTAGTAATTAAACTTTAACTAATTAAACTTTGCATCTTATTACGCGTTCATTGGAGTGGCGTTTTGTGATCTGCTTATAAGTAGTGTGTTTAGCTGCTGTCGTCTGAAGTATATAGGGATGATGAGATGATGATGATTGCGCCAACCGCTGATGCCTCCCAAGTACGTAGCGGCGAGACCCCTACCCAGTGTTGCCAGGTCTCCAGATTTTACAGGTTTTTCTCCTGTTTTTCTTAAATTTCTCCTGTTCTACTGTTTTTCTACATGAATCTCCTGTTTTTTTAGAATACGATTTTCTTTTTTAAATTGCATTTTCCGTCATTAATAATGTAGATAACCTTAATAATTATAAAATAAATGTAATTGTCTAAAAAAAATTGCTTTGAGGGGCGGCAGAAGCCACAGAAACACATTCGTTATTGGTCTTTATCTTGATTTGATTTACAGATTCTAGGGGGGGGGGGGGGGGGGGGATATGTAAATCGGAAAAAGTACGCCTCTGCATCTACTGTTTTTCTTGTAGCTCTTTCCATACATCTTCTGTTTTTTTTCTATAACGACTCCCGATTTTTGAAAATCGGACCTGGCAACACTGCCCCTACCCCACATTCTCGCCTTGATCTCACCCGCGCAAGTGAGATCGGGTCGAGTTTTCGGCTCGTGGTAGCGGTCGCGCCGCTCGCCGCCCCTGTACTCTCTGTAAAGTTGATGATTCTACAATATTGTTCTTATATGTTGTATTGTTTTCTTTTTTTTAATAATATATTGTGTTTAAACAACTGTGGGTAGTTTTATTTTATTTACTAGCGGACGCCCGCGACTTCGTACGCGTGGAGTTAGTTAGAAATAAAGGGTCACTGCTCGTTCCCCGTAGGAGACAGCGTGATAATATAGTAGCTTTTATGTTGACCCGACTTCTTAATAATATTCGTGCCAAATTTGAATTAAATCCATGCAGTACTTTTTGAGTTTATCCCAGACGTACATACAGACAAACAGACAAAAGTTCTAAAAACTATATTTTTGGCTTTGGTATCTATTGTAGAACACACCCCAAGTATTCTTTTAAAAAATATTCAATGTACAATTTTGACTTTCCTACCATTTTATTATATGTATGTACAGATAGATATATGTCGTCAATGTTTCTCTGGGGTTCTATACTCGAAAGGGTGATGGATTTAATTGATACTAAGTTTATTTTCTGCCCCAAAGATGTTTAGTGTAAACGGTGTCCAAGCATAAACGAGGAGATTTGAACCTTACTTATAAGTACACACATTTAAAAAGTTTAAACAACATGCATAAGTTACGCAAACTTCAAGTTTTATAGGTTGATATTTTTTATTTATCGTTATGAAATGTAAATATAAATCAAACGATTTCTTTTCTTTGCTTTAGTTACTAACAAAATCAAATTGTTTATTATTAACAAAAGAATGTAAGTACCTATTAAAAATAGTAGCAATCGGTCAAAAGACTTTTATAAAAATACATATTAAACATCCATGATTGGAGTACAAAATAAATGCTCGTATTCATCACACAAACACCTGCCCCCACCGGGATTTGAACCCGGGACCTCTCGAGTCGGCGACACCATGAAACCCGGCGTACAAACCACAGCATTCTTTGCATAATTCGCGATGAATTTATTGATAAATTTTGATAACAGAGTAAGCCAAAGAGTAGTATTTATATTATGGAGTAAGCTCTAGTGTCGTAAAACTCCTGGATAGTTTAAATTACCAATTTGCTCGGTAAAGGATCGACCTATCAAGACTACGAATAGCGGGAGAGGAGGATGTGTCCCTCTTTTAATATTGATAATGTTTTTTCGTTGGCTCCAGTAGGCCCCCATTTTCACTGAAAGAGCGACTCGCCCGTGATACCCCGAGGTTTAGGGCCACAAGGACGTATAAGAACTCAAAAGACGCGGAATTCGAAGGGCTTTAGAATGATGTAAAAATATTTAGGAAAAGTTTGCTTTTTTATTTTTTGTAAAATCTATGACAGGTATATTAATTTTCAATGCCCTTTCAAGTCGTGTAGAGCAGTCTGTGAATTTTTCACAGCTCCAAGGGACCGCAGATCTGAGTGTATGCTTTCCAATTACAGAGCATAATGCGACTCAGTGGTGCACAATGCCCAATTAAGCTGATGCTTAATTGGAACGTGAATTAGTTTTCAAATGCACCAGCAGAGTGCGCTAAGTTCAGTGTTGAAAAAAAAGTCAATGTTTGTACCTTCATCCATACTTATATTTATTTTTTAACACTTTCAATGAACTTTGATTATTTAAAAAAAAAACTATTTATTGAAACGAAAGCTTTAATAATTTTTCAACAATAAATAATATTACTAACGATAACATATAAATAAAACATTTCGATCAATGCCAACTTAAAGAAAAAACACTTGTTAATTTTCTGTCTCTAAGTTGGTACCATTGCACGCATCACACGAAAGCATCACTTTTGAGAGTGCTCAATTGTGCGAAGCGTTGCTGTAGTTGGAACACTCAACGTTAAGCATTATGCCGCATAATGCGCAATAATGCTTTAATTGGAAAGCAACCAGTATATGCACAGATTAGGGTATATGCTTTAAATTTCAACTTGATACCTCCACCCGTTCTAGAGGTAAAAGGTCTTGCGTGACAGACAGACGGATAACAATATATTCTTTCCTTTTCAGTTAGGGAACGCTAAAAATAACACCAACCGCAGTTATCTTCACGGTTAGCGCAGAATTCAAGTCGTGAAAAATCTTAGCTTCCTTTATAAAGTCTTCGTTCAACTTGCGAATAAATAAAAGCCAGTGTTACTAGTTGGACGTACGGAAGATTTCTACAAGCACTCGATAGCCCCGGGCATCTCGGGATAGACGAAACGGAATACCTATCTACTGCGGGGATATTATGCAACAGATTTTGCTCGGTGTTATTTAGTTTGTTGAACAGAAGAATAGATAGGTAAATACATGAGGCAACATTGTACAATAGAAACAAAATCGACAAATCCTCTCAAATTCTTTATTTTTTGGTATACTTAACAATGTTTTCAAAGGAGTAGAATGTACTCGTACCTAGATTTGCTAATGTCCATTTGCAGTAGCTAAATCTCGATTCAACTGCAACTAGGTTTAAACCGGAGAAAAATGACAAAACGTTAATGTCAATTTGACATTATTGTATGGGATGGATTTAGTTTTAGTTTAATTCAGATTTGCAAGTGCATGCAAGTGGACCGTAGTAAGTCAAATTATCCTTTTAAAACTTATGTTTTTATTTATTGTTAAGCATTTGACTGCTAGATGTTTAAATCTAAAGAAAAGTTTTACTAGAAAAAAAATCCACGCGGACCAGGCAGCGGACGGTACTCGAACCCGCACCCTTCGCAATCCGGGCGAATGCACTGACCAATTATGCCACGGCCCTGATGGCCGCGTCGAAATTTTGTAACCCCCATTCATACACAAGTGCATTCGCCCGGATTGCGAAGGGTGCGGGTTCGAGTCCCGTCGGCTGCTTGGTCCGCGTGGGTTTTTTTCTAATAAAACTTTTCTTTTAAAACTTGTTTGTTTTTTACCAATCAACGTCGGTTTAGTTGGTATTTCAGATAGTATAGAATGGCTTGATCTTTGTATATCATCATCAGCCTATTAATGCCCCCACTGCTGGGGCACGGGCCTTCGCTGCGGATGGGATTGGATTATGAGATTGGGCCATGATCGAATCGATCACGCGAGCCCAATACAGATTGGTCGTTGCTAATGACTGCACATACAACTTGACCAAGCGGTCTATATATCTGTTTCTTAGGTTTTCACGCACAAAAAAAAAATCTGACGACGTAGCCTGTAAAGGTTACGAAACGTCAATAAATAAATAAAGTAAATAATATTTTTACTGTGCCTGACAGGAGTCATATCCTCCAATTTGAATAAAATTGATTCTGATATTCGTGTCGTTATTTCTGATAAATTACTTTCGGAAATTGTCGCCATATTTTGTATTCTTTTTGTGCCATCTGCTGAATCGTATCTGTTTCTATTATAAAGAGCTATTCGTTTCCGATTTGTTTTTGAATATTTTATACACCTATTCGTTTTCAATCGAAAGAACACTAAGTAAAAACATGAACATGCTCCATTTGTTGTATATGTTTACTCGCAAATGAAAGATTTTTTATTAACATTCAACTCTTTCAATTCTTTATTATTTTCTCTTTCTACATTTTACAGTCACACCATGCGATGATATAGCCATGCAGGCTACTCTGACGCAAGTTCGGAAAAACTTATTTAGGTCAGAAATCAATTGCGACGAGATAGTTCTTCAACTACTCTGATGCAACATTTTTAACAACATGCAACTAGATAGGAACATGATTGACAAATGTTTTTATATTACATTGAAAGTAATTTGCTTATGAAGGCCATACACGTTACGCCATAGGCGTTATGGAGGCTATACACATTAGGCTCCGCATGACGGCTCCAGCCGTATATGCATAACGGACAGGCAATCCCTAGCGTGTATGTGATAAAACTGTACAGTTATCGGTGAATGCACATACAACCGAACAAATATCAAAATTGATGTTTTATGAGCGTGTGTGGCGTCCGGCAAGCTTGCCTGTCACAGTTCCCAATTCCCAATGAAGCTCGTCACAGACGTAGCTATAATATATATTAATATGAATCATAGCAAGACATATTACAACATATTTTCAATATAAATTTTCGAGTGACCGCACACGCAGCTATAATATATATTTCTATGACGTCACCAAAATATGTCGACAGATATATTTTGGCATATTAGTGTATATTTTGGTATATTAATATATATTTTGATATATTAATATATATTTTGATATATTTTTATGATACGGTATGTTTCATTTTTCACCGAACGCCTGCCAAAATATATATTATAGCCGTGCCCCGCGGTTTCACCCGCGTTTTTCTCGTTTCCGTGGAAATACTTTATGTAATAATTATTTTGAACACAAAATCGGTTATTGTGATTAAACCATGATAGCTAGATATATGTTCTTGCAGACTTTTTTGTAGGTCTTAATGGGATCTACAAACCCGTAGTACATCATTTTGTTCTATTGTCAATAGTTTTTGCAGCGCACGCAAAAATAGGTTTTCGATTTTACAGCTTGTGTTACAAAATAGCTATTTTATTACGGATCCCTAATTTTGAAAGAAAAAAATATAGCTTATAGCCTTCCTCGATAAATGGAATACCCAACACTGAAAGAATCATTCAAATCGGACCAGTAGTTCCAGAGATTAGCGCGTTCAAACAAACAAACAAACTCTGCAGCTTTTTAATATTAGTATAGAAGTATAGATAGTACAACTCCCGTCTGTGGTAGTTTGTATAATATAATATCTCGATATATATATATATATATATATAGCTACGTCTGTGACGGGATATATTTTGGCATATTAGTATAATACGGAATGTTCAACTTCTATTTTTCGTTCCTGACAAGGCAACATGCATATCAAATTCAGCATCGGAATCATCCTCTGAGGAACTTTCAATTAAATCTAAAAGTAGTGCTCTTGTCGAATTCATTTCGGTAAGATCGATTATAACGTTATTTCAAAATTAAAACACCCTGTGCTAGAAAATAAGCTTTAAAACCGTGCGCTTGCAAAAACGACCGCAGACCGAGTGAGGGCAAAATATATATTATAGTATAGCTCCCGTCTGTGGTAGTTAGCTATAATATATATTTCGATATATTAATATATATTATAGCTACGTCTGTGACGGGCTTGAGGGCTATCGCGTATGAATCTGCCGCTAGAGGCGCTAGTGTAGCGT